GAACCAGCAAAAGCTGAAAACTAGAACCTGGGATGAAAAGAAGAAAGAATAGTAATAAAAAGGATGAAAAACGAAAACAAAAACAAGACAGTGATTTCACAACAGACAAGAAGAAACTAACTGAAAAAAAGAAAAGAAAAGAAAAATCTGGGCAGGGAAAGGCAGGGCAGGGCACCTGGGCTCTGTCAGAGCACCCAGACTGGAATGGCATTCCTGCCATCCCAGAAGGTGGGTGGGAGGGAGAGATGGCCACACCTCTGTTCAGCAAGAGGCTGTGGGGTGTAAGACTGACAAGGAGAATGTTGCACCTTTCCAGTCCTCAGTGTCTGAAATGTCCCTGAGGTCCCTAGCAAGTAGAGTCTATTCTTAGGTCCTGGGAATCTGAGAGAACATTGTTGCTTTAAATATCCAAATGGTTTAACCGCTTGTAAACAATCAAAATGGCTGCACCCTCTGGACAGCCAAAAGTCTACAGCAGGCCATCTCCCTCTTCGCAAGCACCAGCCACCAGTGCAGTCCTTTGTGCAGCCCCTGGCCAGCAGGGTCTATTTTTTAGGTAAATTCTTAGGTCCTAACACCACTTGGCAATGTCCAAACTGTCTGTGCTGTCAGGATCGCTAATAGTTCATAGCTCCGTATGTCTCCCTTTGGTGTTTTCTTGCAGGTTCTTCTGCTAGTTGGAGTTTAGTCCACTTCCCTATCCTTCCTTTCAAAGCTCAGGGCTCCAGAATTATCTTCTGTATCTGTTTTAATTGGTTCCCCTTTTCTTTGTTGAAGAGAGTCTGTGTAGTTTGTCTGCCTATTCTGCCATCATACCGGAACTCACCCATAGTTACCTCTTCCCTGTGTCCTTTCCTCCCATGCACTCCTGCCCCCTGAGCTGTCTCCCTGTGCATATACAGCCCTCCTATTCTCCCATAATTGATCTCTCCAATAAGTGTACCTACCTAATGTAAATGTTCAGCTCATATGCCTTTTTTTTTGGCTGGAAGCTACAGGAGTGCATTCAGTTCCAGACCTGAAGGGCAGCTGGGGATTATAGTCTCAGAGGTTCCACCACACTATATCAGACCAGCAGACCTGGTCCCTTTTTTTTTTTTTTTAATGATTTTGAGTTTTGTTCCCACTGTTCTCCAATGCAATGCAGGATCTCCTACATAGATCCACTTCCAAGTGGTTGACAGTGGTAGCCAAGCACCATCTAGTTCTTCTAGTTTCATGGTCTTATAGCCTGAGGATCACATGGTGTACCAGTTGCTTGGATTAATTGTTTCCATGCATCTTTGGTTTTCTTCATACTTCTTTGCTCTGGATGAGGAAAGACCCATCATTGCATCTAGATGGCTGCTTGCAAGCTTTTAATATTCCAATCACTACTCACCAAAGTAGGATGTGGAACAATGATTATATGTAGTATGTTATGCCAATTGAGCTTACTGTCCCCTGTGGCCAAGAAGTGACTACAACCTTGTCCCTTGTCAGCT